CGAGGAGGACGAACCAGTGGAAATCCAGTTGTCAGATGTCACGATGCATCCGAAGGGGACCCCAGCGCCGGCATCATCCGTAGAGGCACGAGTGTTCGAAGAGAGAGTGGACCTGAGCAACAACATGACCTGTAGGCAAATGATCGGAGTGGGAGTCAGAAATGTGGTCCTTGCGCGAGGGGAGCTCGATAGACTCGAGGGGCCAGGATACGCCGCGAGGAGGACGGAGTTGCGCCGAAAGGCGAAAGAAGCCGCGAGAACAAGGGACCGGCAGGCGGCGGCGTCGCAGGACGAGGCAGAAGAGAACGACGCGACAGAGGAGGAAGTGACAAGGGAGAGAACGACGAGGGTGGGACGACCGCGAGGTGGCATGAAGGTTGCAGCGAGAATCGGCGAGAGACTGCGAAGAGAGATAGGAAGAGGCAGACTCCCTAGGGTGGGCGACGGATAGCGCACCACACACCTCTCCTTAAAATCCCTGTGTGGTGGCGGCGTGCCGTCCTCCCATCCCTCCCTTGGGTTGTCTGTTTTCTTTCTTTCTTTTAGCCTCCCATCCCTCCCCTGGGTTGTCTGTTTTCTTTCTTTCTTTTAGACTCAGAGCTCACACAGAATCACAGCGGGAGGAAAGCGGCGAGTCGCAGAAAGAAATGTTGGTGTACCTTCACCGACATTTCCTAGCACGCGGACTGCTGACTCCACTCGACAACGAGTACGACGTATCCGACAGCTGGAGCCACTGGTGCTATGTGCGCCGCACTCGCCGCTGCTGCTGCCACCTCGTACTCCTTCCGTCTCGACGCGCCCGCTTTCACTCCGCACGGCCTGCGAGTGTCCGACGTACGAGCGTCCAACGTGCCTCTCAACGCGCCGCTCACGGTGGAGCAGCTCGAGGCGCGGCTCGCGACGCTCGCGGGCCCAGCCAACCGCGACAGGAGGCGACGCGTGCAGCAGCGCTTGAAGAAGCTCCGCGACAAGGCAGCAAGCGGCAGCGAGGCGCAGTCTGCAGTGGCTGCGACTGTGCCGGCGGCGACTAGCACAGGGCCGGACCGGGCTAGTGACAGTGACCAGCGAGTTGCGATCGGCGAAGGCGCCGGCAGAGATCGACGGCAGCCACCAGCGGCGGCGGCGACTCGCGCAGCAGCGGACCCGAAAGCTGCCAGAACTGCGCGGCCGCGGCGGCCGCGGCGGCCCGAGCGCGGCTCGGCGCCAGACGTCTGGTGGCGCGCCGTGAGCATGGCCGAGCTGCGCGCCCACCCGGCGTTTGTCGCGCTGCCGCCCGCGCACCGCGTGCTTCCCGCCACGGCGTCCGACCTGCGCCTGTACCGGCAGGACTCGGACCAGTGGTGGGCGTGCCACGCCGGCCGCATCAGCACGAGCGCGTGCGCCGCCT